ATATTACGAAACAAACAATATCGTTGAACGTTACTCAGCATTATGTATGGAAGTGTTAATGTGTACATTAATGTAGGCCGTTACACAATATCTCTTTAATTGCTCCATGTGTACTGTCCCTTCTCCGAAATTTGTGCTGCATGTTCGACTGCTTGAAATGCTACCATGAAACATCACGGGGATTCGCGTGCGATGCCCCAATTATACTCGACTTTCTCGGTAGCCTGAATATTGTTCGTTTCTTCGGCATCATTTCAATTTATGTTCTGCCACTATGCGGACTGTGTTCTAGGAATCTGGGGGCAGCGATCTTAATCTGACCCAAGCCTTGTGTACTTGCATGCCATGTGGCACCGGGCTAGTCTGCCTACAGGCGGCGTCTTATAGTCTGACTGTCAACACTTATAGCAATGCTGTACAACAAATGTGGATGGTTTGTTGGAGACAGTGTTTTGTTTTGCGTATGTTGGAGTGTTTTTTATTGCTAGTGGGGTGGGACCAAGTCCCTTGTACTGCGGCCACTTCTGGCCTATTGTTACCAGCCCCAGATGATAGGTGAGGGTGATTGTGGAGCAATTGGTGGAATGAAGATTGGCAGGGGAAACCGAACGTGGGACACCTTCCGATGTCCTGTCCGGACCCAAAGTCAAGGGCCCCTACATTATCACTTCCCACACGAAGTACTCAGAGAAAACCTGCCCCAGCGCCACTTTGTCCACCACAAATCCCACTTGACCGGACCCGGGATCGAACCCGGCCCGCCGCGGTGGGAAGCCAGCGACTAACAGCTTGAGCTATAGCGCGGCCATATGTTGGAGTAAGTGTCCATAGAGGAAACGTACTTACTTCTCACATCACCACTTTTGTACCGATTGGCATCGACCATGGGCGTGATGAAGGATGATCAAATTCGTGTTGGATTTAAACGGACGATCACAGTGGCCGTGCGGTCTAACGCATCAACTGTCTTCACTCGCTCGAACACTGGGGTCGTGGGTTATATCACTCAAGGCAATGGATGTATGTGTTTTATTGCGTGTTTGTGTTGTTCTGTGTGTAGGAAGCGGCCTTGCGACGGGCTGATCCCCCGTCCAAGGTGTCCTACCGAATGTGTATAGGATTAAGAAGAGCGATAGATAGATGGATAGATAGATAGATAGATAGATAGATAGATAGATAGATAGATAGATAGATAGTAGTAGAAAATATTTTGTGCCTTAGACCGCGTGGTCAGTGCGATCGGCTCTATAAAAAGTAGGATACGGAAAAAATGGAAGAAGTGCCGTCGCGTAACCTGAAAGTCAAATAATAGAGGTAACAGAACAAGAAAGTTGCCCCAATGCCTATGCACCACACCAGCGGTGGTGAGAGTAGTCCAAAATAGCTTCAAAAAGTCCCAATAAATGAAATGTTGGGCTTAAACGTAACCAAGATTTCCCCCAGTCACAATTTTCAGAAAAAAAAAACGAACGTGGTAGGAAGAGCTGGACTTGCGCAACAGATTTGGAGAGTTCCAGTCTACGTGAAAGCCGACCAGGAACACTGACATTGTAGCATGCAAGTTATATTCACTTGAAACAAAATACATTGTTTAAGCCTCCATAACTAGGGTCACAAACTCGTTTCGTAGTCCGTACACACCGAGAATAAACTTGTGGCTTAAGGGCAGCAGCGTGTAGAAAACCGAAATTAACGGCCGTCGGGATTCGTTGCGCTGACCACGCGACACCCTCTATCTGCTAATGTTGGCACTAACTTCGCAGACAAGGGGCGGTCGCTCGGTCGGTATAGTTCGCTTGCGGACTAAAACCACGGAGTTTAGTTTAAGTTAGTTAGTAATAATCGTCCATATTTATATTATAAATGCAAATTCAAATAGCTCTCAAAATTTGGCATTGAATCTGCTGACTTCTTCCAAATAACATGGGGAAATAAATAAACGAGATGTGAGAGCACTATTATTACTGCCTTCTATGGGTCATGCTCCATCTTATGAGCATCAGCGGACCAATGTATTGGATCAGTGGTAGCTAACGCAGAATTACTGATACAAATATCCTGACCAGAGCCTTTGCCGAGTAATTAACGCCATAACAGATTAATGAAGCCCAGACTGTGACATTTAATTTGTCGCGTTAATAACGCTACAGCGGACATGTCGCAGCTTCCCTCCCTGAAATCAGCAGAATGTACAGCAAAAGAAACTGCTTTACTTTTCTTATTGAATCCCCTACTGAAAGTGCTGTCCAAGATCCATCAAGCCACTCTCGAGCGAACTCTGCAACTGAGGTCGCTTTCAACGATATCAAGAGAGGTCACTGTGACTAACTCGCTGATTGGATAACAGGAGATACCTTACAGACGGGTAGGTCAACGAAGTGGCCAATTTCATTACACAATTGAGGTACATTTTCCATCTGACTAAATTAATCAATTAACTGCTTAATGATGCTGCCACGAGCCCTGGTTCTATAACGTCGAATGTTGGGGATGATAACCAAGTAACGCACTGTAAATGATGAGGAAGGAAACCGTCAAAGAAATTCGATGTTTCACCACACGTCATTGCGTTACGTACACAGTGGCACAAAAGTTAGTTCATCTCAAGAATCATCTCGTACTGAAGCGGATGTTCATATTTAAACCTGTAAATCTGTTGAACGGAATCTGATGGTTGTTGAGCTGTGCACTGAATGAGGTAGATCACATTTCAATCATTTTTTTAAGTTCAGTAAAGTAACAAAAAGTTTATAACATACTCTCACGTGTATGAGTGACTATAGACGGGGTTTGGATTGGTGACTCGATTTATTGACCACTTACACAGACCATTCGAAACTACAAGTAACTATAACAGCCTCACCGGTTCTCAGTCTGTTACAGTCTCCATCATTCGTTTCCTGGCAACAGCTTCTAACAGTGGAGATTCTTCAGCTTCCGTGCTCACATCGTTGTCCTCTGGCTAATACGCCGCGACTGAACTCTTTGCTTCAAGTGGCTAACTCCCAGACTGGCGGCCACCTCACACCAACCTCCTAGTCTCCGCTTCAAAGACTAACTTCTAAAACTGTCTCGGTTATATCTCGGCACGACCCGCGCAGAAAACACGGTTTTCCAACATTTCCTGTATTGTTACGCGTGGATTCGTTGCCGTGGGAACATGTGTGTTTCGCGGTCGTTACCTATTAACGGGTCTACACGCTATAATACTTTAGTGATCACTTTACTAATCAGTTAACTGACTTTCAGGTCAACCTGTATAATAATCTTATATGCTGAGGCCAGGAACAAGACGCAGTGCACGATGTTTCGAAGGATAAAACACCTGAAAGGCTGAGGTTTTAGCTAAGTCGATTAGAAGTCTGCAGGCAAAAGTCCGCGGATTAATAGCTGTCGCATAGGATAGATGTCATTAGCGTCCTGCTTCGTCAGTCTTTATTCCCTCGTAGTTCATTTGAGGTTTCGATTAGAGTTATGACATTCAGAAGTCGTACTGAAGAATTCATTGTAATCCTCTTGTTGAGTTTCAAACCCCGACCACGTGGTAAGAAACTGTGTAGCGTTACCTCATGCCATATCATACGAGGCCGTACATCATGAAATATCCTGCTATGCGCCACCGGAAGCGGGAGGGAAACTTCCACCCCTGTTCCAAACATTACGTCAGAATTTAGCGTCCATGCCAATGAAGGGAAAGTATAGCTCTTGGGATTTTTCTGCTGTTTGTGTAGGGTCAGCGTGATTCATCCCCTCTCGACTGCAAAAAAAAAGTGTTATGTGTCCAACCCAGAGTATAAACAGTGAAGTCAAACAGCGGACCGCGAGGAAGCAGATGGTCACGATATGGTCTCAATAAATATTGTGGCTTTCGATGTTCTCATGGCAGTTTTTATTAAGATTACTGTCTTCTGTTCGTCGTGAGTTTGGTAGATGAGCACCAACATTTAGAAGCAATTTGTTGTGGTCTTCATCTTTACGGTAGAAAAGTATTCTGAAGCTGGAGGCAGCAGGTTCTTCCGAAACGTCATACTCATTCACTAAACTATATTTCAACGCTTACCAGAAGAACGCAATCCAAATAAAGATTGGCACGCTATGGCTGTAGAGTTCGTGTCTGAATAAGACACCAGAGCCCACAATTTGAAACTAAAGCGTTGCTAAATTACCGTATTTCAGACAATTCTGAAGGGCTATGGTAAGGTAAGGTGAAGCTGCTCCTCTGCTCAATTAATTAAGCACTACGCCATGAAGACGTATGGGGAATGGAAGCATAGCTCCGCCATTCTTGACATGGATATTACACGGAGGTCTGTGGTCAGTTTCACGTCACGGCCGCTTTAGCCCCGGGGAAAGAATAGGAGGCTGGGTGGGCCCCAAAGGCAGTCTCAACACTGCCGGTAATCAAACCAAGGCCGTCCAGCCCGTAACTCGTCGCTACACCGACTGAGCTATTCCGGCTCCTTCTAAACAGACATGGCAGTGGTATATTATACTGAGCAGCGCTGAGTTTCTGGAATTTTTCCGCCGTGGAAAATTTCATATTACCTCCCTCTGACAAAACTGAGCCTAGGTGGAATGCAGCTGACTGACTTAGGCTGCGCAGTGACTGGGCTCAACTCTTTCTAGGAGGCCCGTGTGGGCAGGTGCCTCACTCCTTTTCATATGAGATCCAGCTTATGAAACGGTGCGTTCCTTCCGAACAATACATGACGACCGAAGAACAAAAACTGAGCACTCCAAATTGCATATTTAAATATAGCATGTAGGGACCGCTGGGTGGGACCTAACTTATCAAAAAAAAAATCAACGAACCGTGGGTTGTGTTGTGTAACAATTAATACTAAGGATCTTCGCTTCATGTAGTTGGTAGACCTTTGGGAAGTTCCGGGAATTTTGGCACAACAATAGATCAACTTGCTGTCAGTCGTACATTAGCATTATTCTTTCCGATGGAGTATATGCCCCCTCCCCTTTAAAATTCATTCTCTGTAACTACTCACCCAGTGTTTCGTGTCTTTCTTCAACTGACTTATCCTATACGCTGTTCCCAATCGTATCTCTGAGCCAGTTATTTACCTGTAAAGAGAAAGCAACTGAATTAATTTTAAGTTACAAGAAAAATTCCACGGAATATGACACTATAAAAATATTTACACAATACACAAGACTTAAATATCATACCTACATTATACAAGTATTCCAATAAAATATGTGAAGATCAACGTGGTATATGTAAAGAAGCCCCTGTTCCTATGCACCAGGCTCCACACATTTTTATTACTAGCACTAAATTGGCGTAAGTAACCGGTTTCAAGTTCGACATGCTTTACTCTGGTATCGAGAAATTTTACTTCTTCCTTATTTCTGTTCTTGTTATTTAACCGACGGGAAGAATCACAAGGTATGCAATAATCATACATGTGCATAAAATACTGTGAGGGTTAAGCAGTTATAGGTTTATACACATATAAAACAAAAAAAAATGTGCAACGAAGAACCTAAAACAGTCCGTTTCCTGTAAGTTAATTGGTAAAAGATAAAGCTATCCCAGTAACAGGCCGTGGAGGCCCACATGGTTGAGAGACGTCGGGACTCCCACATTTTCTAGACAATCGGCTCACAAATGGCGGCGAGATTGTCAGCCTTAAGAGCCGGCCGCCCTTTACCCCTAGGAAGATTCCTAGCAACCATTTTTGTTAGAGGCTGAGTCGACCACATGGCCATAGTGCGGCTGGAAGGATTAGGTCAATGAAAAATCTAATGACCTCACCGGGAATCGAACCTACAGTCTTCTTGGTATGAAACTTGTTATGAGTTAAAACTGAAATAGAACGCCCGGAGAAATGTCATGACAGACGCCATTAAATAGCTGGGGCAAGTTTTTGCCCTGAAACCAAAGTCAGAAAGAAGCAAGAGAATAGATTTTAAATTTGTATACATTTTTATCGTTTCCTTGAATTGATCTCGTTAACAGTACGAGATTACAGTTGAATTCAATTTCCACCCAACACAAAATAAAATCCATTTGTTATGGAATGGCTCACTTTTAATTCATTAAGATAAACTAATTCAAATGTCTCCCTTTTAAGTGTTCCTGTGATCTCGAACTGGACTGTATTGTCTGGCATCGGTATTTTTATTCATTCTACTGAATCGTCCATTAATTCCGAACTCTTTTGACATACATTTAATAGAAACGGTACACAAAACTACATTTTTTCTCTACAATACCAGAAATTTTCGGTACTACAAAATTCAATTACATCAACTGTAAAATATGTAGGCTATAATTAACTGTGACCGTGCTGGAATGAATAGAACAACGATTGATATGTTCTGTGCTTGATGATAAAAAAACATACGGTTTCATACAACGGCTAAATGTATGATAACATTTTAGGGTCCCAAACTGTATTAGCTGCCGCAAATTAGGGGACAACTTTCCGCACCTCTCTGATTTTAAATTAATTTATGGTATATAGTTCATTAACATCGAAATCAATATGAGGTAACAATAGACTGCAGTAACATGACATGCGCCGCGGCATGTAACGAGAAGGTCTCTGCACTCCTTTCGCTGACACATGCTACAGTACGCTATCCCGGTCTATCCATCCGTTTTAGACTATACTTACGAATGCCACAGAAATAGACAAATTCAGTTTTCATGGTCACTGCAAATGACATCAGAGATATGTTCTACTGAATATGGTTGAATTGGGATGTTGCCTTTGATACAAACTAGCTACCTTCTTACGTCACAAGTTGATAAAGATAAAAACATTCCATTGTCGCTTCAGTCAGGAATTCTCCGCGCTCAGAACTGCTGGGCCGATCACATTGGCTCCGTAGTCTAGAGAGCGTACTGTTTTCGGTGGTTCCAATAGTTCGAATTCCACTCGGTGCATCGACGTACATCCGCGTTTATTTTGTGATTATGTTGTAGTGTGTCAGAGGAAGTATTGTGATTAGCAGATCTCCCGTGCAAGGAACCCGATATTTATTTATCTGTCTGTCTATCCTTGCAGCCATCCACTATCTATCTATCTATCTATCTATCTATCTATCTATCTATCTATCTATCTATCTATCTATCTATCTATCTATCTATCTACCTATCTATCTATCTATCTATCTATCAATCTATCCATCCATCCATTCATTCATGTTATGTACTTAATCTAATCTATCTATTCTTACCTACCTACTCTAATCTTATTCATCTATCTATCCATCCATCTAGTCTTATCTATTTATCTATTTATGGCTCTGCATTCCTTGTGAACCTTGACCGCTTTTTCAGTTTCTTAATCTATACAGAGTTTGTACGACTCCTTGGACGGGGGATCAGCCTATCGCAAGGCCGCTACTTATACACAGAGCAACACAAATGCAGAATAAAAGTACACAGACATTCAAACCCCGAGTGGGATTCTTGACCGGGCTGATCCCAAGACCAATGAGTCCTACCGACTGTGTACAGATTAAGAAACTGAAAAAGCGGCCAAGGCCCAACAAAGGGCTGTAGAGTCATAGATAGACAGCACAGAAGTGCATGCAGCCGACTTCTTATCATGGCCGCACCTCCAACAGGAAGTACAGTACACGCGACGTTCGTCGCCCTGACGTCCCGATTTCTGGACACCACGCGCACGGTACTTCCCCTTCCGACGCTTCTATATCGTAACATGAAACACACGTAAATTTTGGGGCAAAACAGGAAATTTCAACAGCCTACCAAGGCACGATAGAGATAAGGCCCAAATCAAAACATGACGGCGTCCGATAATTATAAAGTTAAATTTATTTCATAATAATAATTTAGAATGTAGACAGTAATATCATTGACGTTCTAGATATATAACACCACAACCGGAAAGTCAATATCAAGGTAATCTTTCGAGGTTTGGGATTCTCACAGTCGTGTATGCAGATTAAAGTGTTATAAAACGTGAAGCCGTGTAATCTGATAGATTCTTATTGCCGTCTCGGACGAAAATCTTTAATAAACATGTCATAATACAAGGCTCCATATCGCAGAAACAAATAACCTTCATGATAATAATCATCGCTAATATGAACTATCATAGTAATCGGACATTCACGATCAATATTAAGCTATCATCATAATGGTCTTCAAAATTATAACGAACATCCCTGTGTAGTTATTAATAGTATCATCCTGGTTAGTGTCACTATCATGCCGTATCATTACCATAAATTAATACTTCCATTAAGCTATCAGAATTAGGATCATCATAATATCGCATAACTAGCCAATTAAATTACGTAATCAATCGGTTTTCTACACAGGAGTGATATTAACAGGGTTGTTAAATTAACTGTAAATAGAGACATAATAGCCGATCATAATGGCTGCACGGTCTAAGGCATGAACTGTCTTCGCTGGATCGAACGCTGGGATCGTGGGTTCAAATCCAACTCAAAACATGGATGTCTGTGTGTGTTTATTCTGTGATTGTATTGTCCTGTGTGTAGGTAATGGCCTTGCGACGGGCTGATCCCCCGTCCAAGGAGTTCTACCGACTGTCTTAGGATTAAAAAAAATTAAGTGAAACGTGTTTCAAGGATGCCCTAGGCTCCAAACTGGGAGAACAAGGAAAGGAGAGAGAAAGCATAATAAGTACAAAAATTAGGGTGGAAGAAAGCTTTGCGGGTAGCATTTTGTGTACTGCAATTAAAATTATATAAAATCGTACGAACCAATAAACTGAAAATGGATTTGTTATTTGATCTCGTTTATCACTTACTCAACATGTGCTGTGATATGCATGTGTGGAACTGATGCTAAATTTGTCAAGTTTAAATGGTATTTTAGTTGGCGTGGCTCGGGGGAAAAATATTATATTTTATATTTATAGAGACATCCTTGTGCAAATCAATCACAATACTTAAAATTCCATCATTCACCCAACTGTCAAATCGTGATCACAATGGGGGGGGGGGGGCACCACTAATATAACGCCTGACGTGGATTTGTGGTGCAGAGATGCGTAGCGGCGATAATGCAAATTGTAACAACAGCGTGGCGCCACTGTACTGATGCATGGCATCTAGCTTGACATTTGATAACGTCGCTTCACCTCCGATATCCATCAACAACCCCTAATGACCACATGGCACCGCGGGGTGACCCCAATTAATGGTACTGAGAGATGAACGGCCCCCAGTTAAGCAACCTATCATAACCACGTGCGATACAGTCTAAACCCCAAACACATTTTAATTTCACGATACTGTTTTCGGAAATGGCAAAAATTCCACAAACTCTTTAAGTCCTTGCTGACAATAAAATATTAAAGCTATCCATATAAAAAACTCCGTGGCTTTAGTCCGCAAGAGAACTATATCGACCGAGCGACCGCCGCTTGTCGGAGAAGTTAGTACCAACTTTAGCGGTTAGAGGGTGTCGCGTGTTCAGCGCAACGAATCCCCACGGCCGTTAATTTCGGTTTTCTTGACTGGAGCCGCTATTTCCTTGAAATAGCTCACCAATTATCCCCACCAGGCTGAGTGGACCCCGTTCCAGACCCACTACTTCTCAGAAAATCTGGTAGGGCCGGGAATCGAACCCGGACCTCTGGATATATAGCCAGGAAGTCTGACCACTAGACCACAGAAGCGGTCAAGCTATCCATATAACAGGCCGTAAAGCCCATAGGGTTATGAAACGTCGAGGCCCCCACATTTTCTCTAGACAATGGCTCACAGATGGCGGTGAGGTTGTCAGCCTCACGCGCCTGCCGCTCCTCACCTCTGTAGAAGCCGAGTCAACGCCAGGGCCATAGTGCGGCTGGAAGGATTATGTAAATGACGTCATCGTGATTCGATCTCGCGACCTTCCAGCTTATAGCATAGTGCCTCAACCAACTGCGCTACCGCTCTGGTGGACACGGTAATAAACACAATTTTGAAGGGGGGGGAGAGAGTATATATTTAGCTCAGGTTCAGTGGATCTGAAATAAATCTTTTCTCGTGTTTCCAGAGTAGACGCCGTGTATACTTAAAATGGAACTTTGGACGATTTAGCACGAACTCTGTCTCAGTGAC